GGAAACTCTAAAATAGTGCTGATATTTGGACAGTGATGGACATTGTCTCTGACCAGACCGTCCTGACGGCAGGATTGTGACCAGATGAGCTGGGGCCATAGACCTCTCTTTCACTTACTGTGACATGATTCCCTTTGTCAGATCATTAGTTTCAAGCTACATTTCCATTGATCACATAATTGCTCAATTTGACATTTCGAAAATTAATTTGTTGAATGGAAACACTGCAAACTCTCCTTTTCTTGATAAAAAGTTTTGCTGCCTGGATGAGGCGCTTTATTGGCTTAATTGAAATATAATTTCACAAAACTGCAATGGAAAAATTTGTTCACATCACGTGAGTCACATAATCAACAAATGTATGTTGCCACTGTTGCAAACCACGTGTGATTATAATTGAATTTCTTATTTTATGGAAACATCACAATTGTGAAATTGTGTGTGTGTTTTTTTTACATTAGCAGAATATTGGCAAAGTTTGCGTACATTTCTAATGTGAACGCAGCTTCCGTCTAAGCAAAGCCACGTTCCTTCACATGGCAGTCAGAGGGGCAGGTGTTTACAGTCTGTTCTGTAAAAGAGCTGCTGCTCAATAGCAGTTAATCACATAAACTTCTCTTGAAGATGATAAAATAATCAATTAAGGCTTCTTTCCTGACTAACTCCTAACCTAAATTGCACAAAATTTAACAAAATCTGATTTGTGCTATTTCCTTTGTCATACATTGGCTCCCTCAATTGACATTTAATTAAAAATAATGGCTGTCACATATGAAGTATAAAATTGCTTCTTTTTTCAATAAACCCTATCTTCTGTTATCTAGCTGGCTTAGAAATGCTACTCCAGTCATAAATCTGGCACTGTATCTACAAAAAATAATAGATAAAACAAGGTGTTCTTTGGCCAGTCAGTGTTCGTATTAGTGAGTGAACAGAAATCCACCATTTTGCCTCTACACTGCAGCTCAGCTCGCTCAATGAAAGCTACAACACTTTTCCATTGATTAATGGGCTCTTTGCACCTAAGGCGTTGACGTCACATCTCCAGGATATAATGCGGCTCACTTTTTTCCGCTTTGAGT